CCCCCCCCCATCCCACAGTGCCCCCCTCCCCAATGCCACGGTGCTCCGCTCCCCATCCCACGATGGTCCGCTCCTCCACTATCCCATGATGCTTCTCACCGGCGCCGCCCCTGCTGCAGGTCCCCAGCCGCCCCAGACACTCCTTGTGCGCGGGGGCCCGGCACCGGCTGCAGCGGTACCCCTGGTAGAACGTGCCTCTGGGGGGACACCAGGAGACAGGGTCACGGTCAGCATGAGGGGACACCCGTCGGCCCACCTCAGCCCACCCAGGACTGACCCAATCCTAGACCCACCTGGGTCTTGGGCCAACCCAGTCCTTGACCCACCAGGTTCTTGGCCTATGTTGGCCTTGGCCCCACCAGGATCAACCCCCCTCGGTTTTAACCCACCCAGGGATTGACCCACCTTGGCCTTGGGCCACCCAGGACTCAACCCACCCAGGCCTTGACCCACCCTGGTCTTGACCTACCTTGTTGTCCTCCACCCAACCCTTGACCCACCTTGGCCTCCACCCAATCCTTGACCCACCTTGGCCTTGGGGCCACTCAGGGCTTGACCCATCAGCTCCTCGACCCACCCAGGCCTCAACCCACCCAAGACTTGACCCACCCTGGCCTCGACTCACCCAAGGGCTTGACCCATCAAGGGGCTCACCCCATCTGCAATCACCCACCTGGGGCCCCCCCTTCTCCCAGAGCCCCCCAACCCCATCTCCCAGGTCACCCTGTCCCCCACTGTCTCCCCAGGAAAGTGGAGGACATAATTTTGGGGTCCTACCTCAGCAACATCTGGCAGGCCCTGCAGGATGTGGTGTCCTCAAAGGAGAACATCTGGAAGTCATGCCCGTCGGCCAGGGCGTGCTCGGGGAAGATGTTGGAGCTGGCAAGAGATGGGGGGATATGGGTCTGGTGGGGGCAAATTGACCCCCCCAGGGCCACCCAGCCCTTGGTGGGGCAGGTCCCCCCACCCCTGCGTGCAAGGGGCACCTACAGGGCCATCTCGAACTGCTCCAGCCACTTCTTCTTCAGCTCACGGGTCTTGAAGAAGAGCTCGTAGCCCTGCAGCCCGGCCGTGTCGATGAGCAGGAAGGTGTGGGTCCACTGTGGGCATGGGTGGTGCTCAGCGGCGCCCCGATGCCTGGGTTCACTGCCACCCGGGTGACTGGGGCCACTGGGGACCTCATTCCTGGGGCCACCAGGCTTCAGTGTGCCCACTAAGGACCTGGACACTTGGGTGCACCAAGGACCTGGATGCTTGGGTCCACCAGACCTGGACACTTGTGTCCACCAGGGACCAGGATGCTGAGGTCCACCAGACCTGGACACCCGGGTTCATTGGGGGCCCGGACACCTGGGTTCATTTGGGAAGAGGACACCTGGGGCCACTGGGAACCGGACACGTGGGTCTACCAGGCTTCAATAGGTCCACCAAGGACCTGGACATTTGGGCCCACCAGACCTGGATGCTTGGGACCACCAGGGACGTGGACACCTGGGTTCATTGGGAACTGGACGCCTGCGTCCCAGGGTACCTTCTTGCCGTCGCGGGGGCCGAGGCCACCATCCCGCAGTTGGTGGCTTTGAAGGTCTACAACGTCTTTGGCCTCGTAGGAGTCCCCACGGCGCTTGCAGATGATCAGGGCCTTGTCCAGGAGGAAGCCGTACCTGGGGACAGGGATGGGAGTGGCACTGGGTTCCCAAGGCCACCGCGTGCCTTGGGGTGTCCCCACCACTGCCCTGGAGTGGCCCCTACTCTGTCCCCTGCTCTGTGACAAGGATGTCCCCAAGGTGTCCCTGTGTTCCCTTCCTTATGTCCCTGAGGGTTTCCCGATGGAGATCCCTGTTTTCCCATGTCCCCATGGTGTCCCTGTCGTGTCTCTGTGTCCCCAAGGGTGTCCCCACATCCCTCTGTTTTCCTCATGTCCACATGATGTTCCCATGATGTTCCTGTGGTGTTCCCATGTTTCCATGGGTCTCCCCGTAATGTCCCCATGGTGTCCTTGTGGTGTTCCCATGTCCCCGTGGGTGTCCCTGCAGCGTTCCCACAGGTGTCCCCAGGTTCTTGTGGTGCTCCCGTGTCCCCGTGGGTGTCCCTGCAGCATTTCCATGGGTGTCCCCAGGTTCTTGTGGTGTTCCCATGTCCCCATGGGTGTCCCCATGGTGTCCCCGTGGTGCCCCTCGCCCCGTCCCACCTGTCCACCTTGGAGCGCCGCTCGGTGCTGGAGACCTTCATCTCTCCGTCGATTTTGGGGCGCCCAAACTGTGCCAGGGACTGTGGCTGTGCCAGACATCATCAGGGAGGTGGGGGACATGTGGGGGACATGGGGGGACATGGCAGAGCAGGGACACAGGGGCAACATGGGGGGACATGGAGATATGGGGGACATGGGGGACATGGGGATTTGGGG